TGTATGTTTGGGATGACTTTTTGACTAATTACGAAAAGCTGTGCAAAAAGTAGAGAGAGGCCGTAATTGTTGACTTTTTGGTATGGCTAATTGGCTAATTGGCTAATTTAGTAACTTTTTGGCTAATTGGCTAAAAAGGTAGCATCCCAAACGAGGCCTAAAGTTGTAAAGTTATCCAACTTTTTTTTATGATGATTTTATTTCAAGCCTAAATACTAATCATTAACCCAAGCGTATTTGGTAACTTGGTAGGGGCATGGGGTTAAGACCCTAGGTGTCAAGTTCGAAATTCCTTGGGCCAATTTCTTAGTGCAATTGGTTATGAGGTTAATTTCAAGTTGTTACTACCAATGTGGGCTCAATGCTCCGCCACTGCGTGAATCCTAACTGAAGTAGAGCTTTTCTTGGGAGGTCGAGGCAAGTTCTTAGATTATAGTCTCCTTACTCGGAACGGACAACCGGACGCCTTAGTGATCTCAACAAGGAACGCTGCCTTGAACCTACGAGAGAGTGGGAGGATTTTCCTGTAAACAAAATAAAAAAAAAATAATACTAATCATTATGACTTATAGATTTTGTTAAATATGTACATGCCAACAAGTTTAAATACGAATAATATTTACACATATTAACGATTTTACTATAAAAATAAAGTTTGAGAGTTCTAATATAAATATAAGATGTCAAATGTGATTAATTGTCAAAAAAAAAAAAAAATTAACTATCCAATGATGTTTGAAAATGTATGTTTTTAGTGAGATTGTTAATAAATTTAAGTAGATGTAGCATTGCTTTAAAGGTTCTTTTGGAAAGAACTTTTTTAGCTTGATTTTTTTTTTTTTTTAACTTTTTGGCTAATTTAGTCTGGCTAAATTAGCTATGACTTTTATTTTTTTATGAGAGAAAAAATAAAATAATTATATGACATTTTATCTTACTAATTTATTTAACATATTATATCTTTTTATACTTTTTTTTTAATCTTAACTCACTTGCCCAACCGAAGCTAAATATCTCAAAAATATTTGGAAACTCTAAACTATGAGCTCTAAAAGAGCTCTAGGGGGTGGGCCCACTCATTAATGTGATGTTTTGATCTTAGTTTTTTGTTTTTTTTTTTTAATTTTCATCTCATTAGTGTTCAATTAGAGTTCATAAATTAGAAGAATGAATCATTATTGCTAAATCAAAAATGTTTAAGACCCCTTTTCCCCTCACCCCCTTTGACCCCCTCTCTTTTTTGATTGGCTACTTTTTCTTTTACTTTTTTTTTTTTCCTTCTCCTCCAATCACCACCCGTCACGTGTGTGTAGGGGTTGTGGGGTGGTGATTAGAGGGGGTCTCTATCAATACTCTTTTGCCTACATACTTCAATGCTAACAAAGTTTCATAATATTAGCTATTCATATATCTATATCTATACTATTATAAAAAGAAAACTGAAGTTAGTGTTTATGTCTTATTTTTTAATTTTTTTTCAAAATATCCTAATGCATATGGGGGTTACATGGTTCAGTTATGCCTTGAGTTATATAAAGAGAAAAATAGAATTTGAAACTAAAATCTATAGTCTAGTACAGAGGGCACAGATCTAGTGTATATATATAAAGAGTATTATCATACAAATAATAAAAAAATACACAATGATGTGGGTGAATTGAAACCCATCACTTTTAAACAAAACATCATCTTTAATTACATAAATAATACATAATACATGCATAACAATTCTATATCAATAGATTTTCAATATTTGAATCAAAATTATTTTGTTTACAACAATATTACACATTTTAAAAAAATGTCATGAAAATAAAATGTCCAGATCAAATTAATTTTAAATGTATTTTACAATATCTCAAATTTAAATTTATTTTATTGTTACTGTATTTTTTTTTTTTTCAAAGTGCATGAGTTTTTCGTTTTATTTATGATAGCGGATGCAACTTTGACTACCCAATAAAGTCTTCAAGGCATTTTGTGGCAAAATTAAACATGTAAAATTTGTCGTTTTCTGAGTAATTCTTGAAATAGAATAAAAACACTTTCTATTTTAAATCAATTTTTTTATTAATTTTAAAAGCTTCTCATAATTTATTGTCATGGGACTACATGCATTAACCAATTATAAGAGTGCAACTTGTCCGTCTGTCTGCATGAAGAAAAGTTTTAGACTTTAAATTAAATTATTTAAAGTCTTGTATTAATTTTTTTTTATAGTTTTAATTAGATAATTTTTTTACTTATAGAGATTTAGTCCATTTAATCATATTTATTTACATATTAGACTAAAATCAAGTGATAAATAATTTATTCATTTTTCTCAAAGTAATTAATAAGTTCATTCCTACTTGAGTGGATCATTTTGCGTTCGCGCTTGAATTTTGTCGAAATTTTTTAACAAATGTTATCAATTAAATTAATTTAATATATTATAAAAAATAAAAAAAAATCAATTCGATTGAAATGATATGGACTAAATTTTGGAATGAGCTAAATTACATAAAACCTACCCAAACTAAAAAAAATTGACTAAGCTTTCTTTTTGCTGTTATTCCTTATAAAAATGGACTCTCCAATATAAAACACCCCCACACTTTTCTTTTTTCTTTTTAATATTTTTATATCTTTTTCTTTTTTAAAGTATAGAGTAAGAAGGTAAGGTTCTAGGAGTAGAGACTGGCAAGTCCATGCACGAGTTGAGTGGACTAGTAGGTGAAGTATGGTCCATCGCCACCGATCGTCCTCCTCATGAACTCCACTAGATCTAATTTCTCTCTCTCTCTTAAATCTTTCTGTCAGATTTTATTTATTTTTTATTTTTTTTTATTCTATATGTTGTTGATCCGGTTGAAAATGTATGTAATATTGTTGATCGTCCATCTATCTATCTATCTCTCTCTCTCACTTTAGTCTCTTGATGTTGTTGATCTTTCTGTATGTTGTTGAAAATGTATGTGATGTTGTTAATGTTGAAACAAATTTAGGCGGGAAATTTTTTGGATCAGGAAAACCCGATCCCCGATCGGGGGCTGGGATGGGGAGAGGTAAAGGTTCCCCGTCGGGGATCGGGGCCGGGGACGGGGCCATGTTTACCATCGGGGATCGGGGATGAGGAGTGTGATCCCCGGCCCCGCCCCGCCTCGTTGCCACTCCTACACATTAATTGCGTGGATAGTCTAGTAATCCTTTACAGACTAAGGCCTCGTTTGGGAACCCTCCTTTTTAGTCAAAAAGTTATTAAATTTAGTCAAAAAATCAACAACGCATACCAAAAAGTCAAAGATTCTCTTTTCTCTCTACTTTTTGCACATCTTTTCGTAAAAAGTCAAAAAATCATTCCAAATATACTAATTTTTTTTAACTCATATTTTAACTAAATAGTCAAAAAATTACTAAATTAGTCTGTTTCCAAACGAGGCCTAAGAATTCAAACATAAAAAATATTTTTAAAAAATATGCATTTTAAATTTAACTCTTATATCATTGAATTTACATTTAAAAAAATTTAGACTATATTTTTTTTAAATATATATATATATATATATATATTGTGTATGAATTTTTGATTTGTTCCATTTGTTTCTTTGGAACTTTTTATGAAACTGAAAACCCATTCTGAAAGCATTAGATGAATTTTACATGGGGTCCACACATTTATTGTGATGGGAAATGAGAATAAAAACCAAAAAAATACGGCTAGCAGCTACTCTTTTATACTGTAGAAAGAAAGGCAATCAGCGTCTCATACAATACAATACACAATAAATACAAGGGCAAATTACATATACACCCCTTCAGGTTTGTCAAAATTACAGATACCCCCCTGAGGTTTTGGAAATTACATCTCGCCCCCTGAGGTTTGTATTTTCATAACAATTTACCCCCTGAGGTTTATATTTTATAACAAATTACCCCCTAATTTCTTATGCAAATATAGCATTCAGGGGGGAATTCGTAATTTCTCAAACCTCAGGGGGGTATCTGTAATTTTGACAAACCTGAAGGGGTGTATATGTAATTTGCCCTTGTATTTATTGTGTATTGTATTGTATGAGACGCTGATTGCCTTTCTTTCTACAGTATAAAAGAGTAGCTGCTAGCCGTATTTTTTTGGTTTTTATTCTCATTTCCCATCACAATAAATGTGTGGACCCCATGTAAAATTCATCTAATGCTTTCAACATTAAAATTTTTTTTTTAATTATTTTTTCAAAACATCTCTATGTTTGGTTTCAAAAAATTAGAATTAATTTTAAGAGAATTGAATTTTTTATTTTTAATAAAATTTTAAAATATTTTATATAATATTTTTTATTTTTTAAATACATTTAATTTTAATATGCTTAAAAACTATAATATTTGTAAAAAAATTGGTAATAAAATAAAAAAATTTAAAAATACAAAAAATACAAAAATGAATGAAAATTTAATACATTTTCATATTTTGTTGTATTCAGTGAATTTTTTAAAAGATCTTTGTACAAATTTTTTATTTTTTAAGTATATTACGATTAAATGGATATAAAAATTGATTAAAATATTTTTAAAAAATCATTAAAAATATAAAAATAGGAATTAAAAACTTAAAAAAATAGTTTTGAAAACTCAAAGCCAAACAATATAGAATTTTGAGAAAATTTCATCAGTATAAATCTTGAAAAATAATTATAAATTAGTGATAAAGTTTATCAATATTAATAATTAAAATTATAAAACCTTTTCCATACGTATATAATAATTTTCTCAACTTACCACTTACAGATAATTTCCCCTAGAATTTACAAAATTTTCATAGAGGATAATGTATCCGTGTAGTCTTCCCATTTTATAACAAAAATGTGCTTCACAGTTTAAAAATAATTCACTGCCATATCATTCTATATCAGCGTTCCGTGATTCACTAGTGGTTCTATTTTTATTTTTTTTGGGCTCTACACAGGTATGTAAGCTACCTTTAGCGCTGGAATCAGGTTCTTCTCAGTGTACACAATTATTGTTGCTGATTTCTTTTTCTCTCTCTTTTTTGTTAATTTATTTATTTTTATTGGTTATACTGTTCCAAATTTGAAATCCAAGGAAGTTTCATAATCAAAATTTCAATGTATATATGGGCGAGCAATGGTAGAGGGCCACAAAAAGTGTGGCTCAAATGGCTCAAAACTATCAAAACGACGACGTTTTAAGCGTAAAACGACACAAAACGACATCGTTTTAACAATTTTGAGCCATTTAAATCACACTTTTTGTGGCCTTCAAACATTTTCATACACACACTAACACAAGGACACACAGCAATGAGTACAAAACTTTCCTCTTTAGCGTGGTTTCAGTCTGACTCTAGTTTTTTACACAAGATTTCAGTGTTGCTTTTTACTTTAAAAATTAAATAAATGATCATGTGAGATTCTGAGATTCAAATTTCACTGGTTTTTGCATTTTTTGTGTTTCATTGCTTGACTACTGTTTACACTCCAAGTAACTTCAAGGAGCTCAAAATGTAAGAACCATATCTCTCTCTCTCTCTCTCTCTCTCTCTCTCTCATATCATCTGAATTCTAAATCACTCTGTAGACTGCAATATTCTGAATCCCTTTTGTGCTATATCTTCTTCCATTTGTTTCTTTGGAACTTTTTATGAAACTGAAAACCCATTCCAAGACAATCTGTTTTTTTTGTTGCCATCACGATTTTTCGGATGACTGGTTCATCTTTGATAAAAATCAAAATTAAAAAAGGGAAAAATGATGCTTTTTTAAGGATGTGAAATTTCTTGAAATTCTAGTATATAATCTCCTTCTCTTGGACAAGATGGTATAGAGGAAGAGAAAATTGAAATCTTAGAACTCTGTCATAAGGTTCTCAGAAATTTTTTTTTTCAAGAAAAAAAAAAACTTGGGTGATTACTATTTCCTGCAGATGTTATATAACATTCCTTCAAAGAATAGTCTTTCAAACTTATTTTGATTTATTTTATTTTTTAATCACATAGGAGGAAACTGATTACTACATGTTTCTGCAGTGATAGGAAAAGAAGACACAGATCTGGAGACTGTGCTTGGAATTTATGCCTTTTGATTGAAAACTTGCATTTAACTCCTCAGGTGACTCAAATTAATGTGCATCTTTCACTGTTTTTGTTCTCATTACTCATTAGTGATGCCTTTTCTTTTCATATAATTCCAATCCAACAAAAAAAAAAAAAAAACAGCTAGTACACCGGGCGCAAGATATATGTGGATCAGCACTCTGCCCTCACAGTAATTTTATAAAAAAAAATTACCCGAAAACCTAGTCACATTATCAATGATTGATCAAAGTAATTTTCCTTCTTTTACCTCGTAGTCAATGTCACCTCAAGAAAAATTACATCTGAATTTCATTTTCTTCTTCCTCATCTTCCTCTTTTTGGATTAGAATCAAGAGCAAATTTTTTACCAAACAAATGACCAAATATCTCCCATGAAAAAATATGAACCCCATACTCATGTAAAATCTTTAGTCATTTATTTGGTAGAAAATTTAAAACCTATAGCATTTTCTTAGAATTAATGTAATTTGAGTGTCTTTTCCATGATTTTCTGCTTGGGATTCACTTGTTTAAATGCGTTTCTATTTTAGGAGTGTAAAAGGAAAATTTCCTTGAGAGCTCTCTACTACAAAACAAGTTTGAGAATGGGATTCCTTGACCTGTTTATCGTGGCGTTGATGCCAGTTCTAAAAACATTGATCATTACCGCTATTGGCCTGTTCCTTGCAATAGATCCAGTCAATCTTTTGGGTCCGGTCGCAAGGCAACATTTGAATCAAGTAATTTTACAGCTATCTTTTTAATTTCCATTTCAACTTAGTTTTGACTATTCCTTCAAAACATAAATAAAAACTTGTTTTGACTATCACAACAACATTTGACTCCCTACCAAGTGTCTAAGATATATTTGTTTTTGACTTTCTCTAAAGGCTTAAACTTACACTTGATGATTGTGAAACAGCTGGTATTTTACGTTTTCACCCCTGCACTTGTTGCTAGCAATCTAGCCGATACAATTACATCAAGCAATATAGTTTCTTTGTGAGTAGATTGTTCTCTCTTTACTTGTTTCTCAATATTTTAGGCCAATTCTAGTTTTTTTTTTTTAATATTTTTTTAATGAGTAACTTTTGGTTTTAATGTATTGTATTAGGTGGTTCATGCCGGTGAATATCCTTCTCACATTCATTCTTGGTTCAGCGCTTGGATGGGTACTTGTAAAAATCACCAGAACTCCAAAACATTTGTATGGCCTTGTAATCGGTTGTTGCGCCGCAGGTAGATCATATATTATCACAAATCACATGATATATGTGTTCTTTAAAGAAATAAAAATTAAATATATAATTATTGACTTTGATTTGTGCAGGAAATTTGGGGAACTTGCTTCTCATCATCATCCCTGCAGTTTGCGACGAAAGTAATAGCCCATTTGGGGATTCATCAACGTGTTCCACAAATGGAGAGGCCTATGCATCCCTCTCTATGGCGGTAATGTCTAAGATTATGATTTTATTAAATGTAAAATTCACACATGTTTATTATCAACTGTAAGATGGTTTGCTCAATGTCTATCCAAACTCTCACACTGGTTGTTAGGCTTTTTATTTTTTGAACGCCACTGCTTGTTAGTCACTCTGACTTGGTTGTTTAAGTAAAAAAGCGTGCCCTTCTATGACCTGTAGTTTGACAACATTGTCATTTTCCTGCTTTCTGTTTACAAATATTTTGAAAATAACAAACAAAGAGGAAGGAGAGATTTAAAACTAGTTTTAAAAACAAGTGAAAGTTCCATTTATTTTCGTTTCCAAAAGTTTTTGGAATCAATTCCACTTTTTTTTGGAACGAACAATATATCAAACAAGTTTTCAATTTTAGTTTCTTAAAAAAAAAAGTGAAAACGAAAACTGAACAGAAAACAAAAGCATTAACAAACATTTGGGAGGTGCAGTTCAATGATTTTTTATATTTGATTTTGATACTCCAGATAGGAGCTGTTTATATTTGGACTTACATATATAACATCATACGGATGTCTGGAAGTAAAAGCAATGAAGAAGTCAATGCAAATGGTTCCAGAACGAGTGGAAAGTCTCGGGGAGAAACCTCAGAGAACACACAAGCATTGCTTTCAACGGATTATTCAAGCTCAGAGGACTATGAATCTCATGTTGAAATAGCTCCCATTGGATCCGAGGAAAAAGTGAGAATTCCTTTCCTTCTAAATATTTTCTTACTTTTGAAAACATTTCTTCTTTGGATGCTTTCTTCTCATTTTGAACACGAGTGATCGCACATAGGAGTATGAAACCAAGTAAACTTTCTTTTAAACTTTTTTTTTTTTTAACTTAGAAAAGTTTTTGGGAAGATTAAGAAGAATGTGAATACTTTTGCGGAAAAGGTCAACTTGAAGATGGTGCTTGCACCGTCCACCATTGCAACGGTATGATCTTCTTGGTGTTTATTTGTGTCAAGACGCGCATCCTTTTGTTGCTAATTGAGTAGCTAATCTTCTAGCTTGACATTGTTATTCGCAGATTGTTGGGCTATTGATTGGAGTGATCACTCCAATAAGGAAAATTATAATTGGTGATAGTGCTCCACTCCGCGTGATTGAGAGTTCTGCATCTTATTTGGCGTATGAATCAGACTTTAGACTCCATTTTGTGCATTTCTAACAAAAATTAATGGATTCTATTATCTTTGCTCTTGTTTTTTTTTTTTCCCCCCTTAATTTTTCCATACCAATTCTGCTGCAGGGAGGCGGCAATCCCATCCATGACCCTGATCGTGGGTGCCAACCTTCTCAAGGGTAATTTTCTATATGAAATTTCGATTTCGTTCACACTTTTCTTATATAATCATTTTCAAATACTGATTTCTTAATTTACTTTCAGGTTTGAAAAAATCTGGAGTAGGAATTTGGGTTATTATAGGGGTCAATGTAGTTCGGTATATTGCGTTGCCTCTATTGGGTATTCTTGTTATTAAAGGTGCACGATATTTGGGCTTTGTGGGATCAAATTCGTTATACGAGTTTGTTCTTTTGATTCAGTATGCGCTTCCATCCGCAATGACTATAGGTATGATTAATTGGGTTCATCTTCCATTTTGTGCTCTTTTTTTGACAGTTCAATTAAATTTGGATTTTTGAACTATTTTACTTGTTTTTTTCTATAGTTTCTGATCATATTTTTCTTCTGTTTGACAGGTACAATCACCCAACTGTTTGAGGTTGGAGAGAGTGAATGCTCTGTTATTATGCTATGGAATTATGCGGTGGCTGCAATTGCCCTTACATTATGGGCTACCTATTACATGTGGCTTGTGTCTTGAAATTTTTTTGTTGTTCTTTATTTATTATTTATTATTATTATTATTTATTTTTTTTGTCTTTCTGGCAATACAAAGATGAGTGTGTGGGTACTTCCATCAAATTGATATATATTGCGAGTTGAGAAAAAACATGTATTTTTTTTTTATTTTTCCTTGTATATTTTGTTTTTATTTTGAGAAATGGGCATTTAAGATTGTAATGTCGATTTGGTGTGTTGTAATTCATCGGATTGAAGTATTGGCATAATGTCATACTAGAGGTTTGTTTACATTCAAATGAACAATCCAACCCAAGTTCAAAATCTAAATGGCCCTTTTCTTTGCCTAGTAAGAAAAAAATGAAAGAGAAATTGAGGCCTTGTTTCGGAAGGGGGCTTTTTAGTCAAAAAGTCACTATAAGTCATTACATCACTTTTTATTTTTCTGCACATTGTTTTGTAAAAAGTAAAAAAATCAACTAAAATAACTAATTTTTAAACAAGCCTTGAGTAAGGGTTTAGCATTAGAGGGAAATTATTTAAAAATAGTTTAGGGTTGTTTTCTAAAGGGCCTGGCTTTGGTCCAGTCCACTATCGGACTGGACCGTGTTGTTGAGCCCGTGGGGGCCCACCACGGGTCCCGTTTTGAAAATTTGAACCGTTGAATGTGTAGAACTCGTCGAGTACTATATGTATGTGAAAAATCACGTTGATCGGATATCGATAGCTATGTGATCAAAACAGTTTTTTATCAACCGTTAATTTATTCACCGTCCATTTTTTTTTTTATACAAAACTGATTTGATCACATAGCTATCGATATCCGATCAACGTGATTTTTCACAAACATATAGTACTCGACGAGTTCTACACATTGAACGGTTCAGATTTTCAAAACGGGACCCGTGGTGGGCCCCCACAGGCCCAACAGTACGGTCCAGTCTGATGGCGGACTGGACCAAAGCCAGACCCTTTTCTAAATACCTAAATTTATATGAAATTATTGACTATACGAAAAAAGTTTTTTAGAACTAAACTCAAATCAACATCAGGTTGGCAAATGAGATTTCGGTAGCACTTCAATAGCCCACGTGCCTCTAGGCACCATTCCTCCAAGTGCGTATGCCAACACTTCCCTTGACGACATTGCTCTTGGGACTCCTAATCCTCAATTTAAAGACTATCCCTCGCAGAAACCTAGAGACCGGGCCCAAGTTGGCTCGAAACTTGCCCATTTTATGGCTCAGTTCGGCCTAAGAATGGCAATGGGGTGGGATAGGGCCGGAGATCACACTCCCCCTCTCCGATCCCCCAGGTTGAAATTTTTTCCGTCCCCAGCCCGGATCCCCGACGGGGAATCTATCACCGTCCCCGTCCCCTAACGGGGATCGAGTTTCCCCGACCCCAAAAACTCTCCGGCCAAAAAAAAAAAAAAAAAAACAAAATCATCAACAACATCAACAAATCTCAAATCAACAAAATATCAACATCAACAAATCTCAAATTCGCGGTGATAGACGACAGAGGAGGTGGAGCTTCAACAATAGATCTCAGATCCGCAGCGATAGACAACGGAGGGGGTAGAGCGGCAGCAACAGATCGTAGATCGATGGCGATGGACGACAGGAGAAGTGGAGCGGTGGTGCGAGGTGGACAGAGGTAGAGGAAAGATGTGAAAGTGACGAGGTGGATCGAGGTGTAGAGTCAACGGAGGTGAAACGGAGCTGCCAGCTAGACGGCGACTTCGGCGTCGTGGACACCAGCAATGACACTAAGGAGAAGACGTCGCGGACAGCGGTGGTGAGGAGAAAATATGCGAGAGTGAGAGTGAGAGTGAGAGTGAGAGAGAGTAAAAGGGAGTGAGAGAGAAAGGGAGAAAGACAGAGAAGGGGTTAAGTGTAATACTGCCTTGAGGGTATATATATATATATATATGAATGGAGAATTGAGGGATATAATAGTAATTTTACTTTGGAGGGGAAAAGGGGCCTGAGACGAATCGAGGCTGAAAAACGTATCACCGTCCCCGGCCCAAAAGTCATCGGGGATTCAATTTCGAATACCATCCCTGGCTCGTCAAGAGTATTTTTTAGAAAAAAACCATTCTAATCGGGGTTCGGGGAGCGAATCCCCGTCAAGCCGATTTTAAATTGCCATCCCTAATTCGGCCAATATACTTTTTAAGTACGTAGGAAACCTTCCTCATGCTTTAAGAGTCCTAATGGTCTAAAAACAATTCCAAACATTTCTCAATTTGAATTTTTGTTTGGCATGACTCCACACAACCTCTAGGAAATTATATTAATTTGGAAAAATACTCACATGCCTTCAAGGCTGATATTTCAGTCAACTACAAAAAATCACTCATATTTGCAGCAATGCCACTAGTGCACCTACAAGCCCCATAGCACACCTACTATGCAACGCAGTGATCATGTGCAAGATTCTCGTAGTCAAACTCGCAGCTCGTGGCACGTTGCTTGGGATAGGGTTTCCTTTTCTTCTCTCTCCACATCTAAAATCCAAACACATCTAAAATCCAAACACAACAAAAGTTTAAAACTATCACACCTCATTAAACAAAGTGGTCTAATAAGTGAAATCATATAACCATTCAGTTACCTCCTCCTTGCCCCTCTTTATGCACTTACGGTTACTTGGCAAAGGATGTGTTATAATGCTCAATTTGATGCTCAACGTAAACCTTGTGCATAATATGTACTATAGTCAGAGCAGCCACATATAATTGATTATTAGAAATTGATACATTTTATTTCCTAGATAAATTAACTGAATCAAATAAACATAGTAATCTATGGTAAACAGAAGAGAGGGTTTTGCAGGTATGCAATTCAATTCTGATCAAAGAATTCTCAATTGAAGATCTGCATGACCAACCCTTGCTTTGTGCCTTTCAAAGAGATCTTTAAATGCTTCAACAAACTGACCGTGTACTTCACTCACCTTCAAAATGAGATGAAGAGTGGTGAGGGGAAAAAGAAAAGAAAAGAAAAGAAAAGGGTGAATAAAGAAGGAAAGAAAAGTTAGCCCTCAAAAGATTGCCTAGCGTGCAAGGCCATTGGCAACAACGTCTATTGCATTCCAAAAAATTTGCAATCAAAAAAGCAAATACCAAATCTTGAGTAATGTAAAATGATTTTAGTAGATTGAAGCACCATATTTGTTACACTACATGCTATTCTGTTGGCAAATTTGAGCAAGTTCACAGGCGAAAACCCAAAGAGCGGGGGGTGGTAAACAAACAAAGGAAAAAATAAAGATGTTTATGCTTGACATTTCCCTCCAAACAAGCAGCAAGAGCAAGAGCCATTTACATGCTATAACACAGACTGAGGAAGATTTTTACACTATATTAAGCTATAATTCAAGGACAGACAATCATGTTCAAAGATAAAAATAAGTAGGGTTTAGGCCCCATTTGTTTTGACGAAGCATGTCTTTGTCAAAAATATTTTACACATTTTCCATTGTCTAGTTGAACAAAAAACAAGTAAAACATTTTTTAAGGAAAATATTTTTGCATCACTTTCCAAAAAAATGACTTCCCTTTAAAAATTCCGTAAGAAATTGACTTTCACTTACTAAATTTTCAACACATTTAGCCTTCTCAAATAAATATCTTAGCTCACTAAAAAGTCATAAATGATACTTTATTGAATCAATATTTCTCTTTTAGGCAATAAAATATTTTTTTTTCAAATGTCAACCAAACACTGAAAAACAAAAACAAAAACAAAAACAAAAACATTTTTTCTGTGCAAAATCAATCTACAAGAAAAATATTTTTTTGTGTAAAATATTTTACGTTGAAATAAACGGAGCCTTAATAACACACCAAAATTTATAGTTGAGTATGCAAGTGTGCATGTGGATTGATTAGCATTCAAGTGGTATCTATACGTTGGTAGTGTAGTAGAGTCATCAAGATAATGATAATGAAGTATATAATCCCACCCTGCAAGTAAAGGTGGAGTGTTGACTTCCCAAAATGGCATTGGACATGGAAAGATACAGAATATGAACAAGTGGCTGATAAACCAATAATCAAGAATGATGTGTGTAGCAATAACATATACATTTGGACAAAATGTCACAAGCAAACAAACATAGCATATATCTTATATTAAGACTGCAGTGAGCATCAATACCTCTTCCATGGTGGGCTGTGGATTTTTCTTAACTTCAATTGGTCTACCAACCACCACATGCATTGGACGGTGATAGGGTAGGGGAGACCTGCAAGGGAAGAATCAAGAGATGGAGTTCAATCAGCTCCATAAAACTGTCCCTGTTCAGATTCACGCCAATTCAGAAAAATTCTCTTGGAACTGTGTGTGGAGGCCACAGGCTTGAGGGTCACATTTATTCAGGCATTGAACCTTCCCCATTTCAGTAGCTTAAAAAAAAGAAATGACGCCACAAAATTTTTGGCAAAATAGTTCCCCTTAACTGGATTACCACAGTTGTTTATTAAAAAAGCTAAAAGTTACTTGTGAATTACATAAAGGTACTAACCCACATGATCGATTATCTTATTAGGTAATCAATACAGTTAATCAGTTAAGATTATTTATTTGGGCCTTTTTTTTTTTTTTTTTTTTTTTTGTTGGGAGGGGGGGTAAGTAATCGGGTAGGATTAGCTTTATGCACTGATCTAAGTGGTAAAACAAAAATTGAAGGGGGGGAAAAAAAAGAAAAAAAGTTTTAAACAGTTTAGAATTCCATCTCTTCTTCAATTTTCTATTCATATGGAGCAAGAAATTCAATTGACAACATTTATCATATCATTAGACTATCAGTTGTGGCATGTGAATTGTTCAATGGGACAAGCTTTTGAGGTTTCATCAAGAAGTTACGATGAGGACATTGGTAGCCACTGAAGTTGGCTGTAATCACAGTCCACAAAACCGTCACCATGACTCCATATTTGCTTGATCCTCCATATTGCTAGTAATCCAATCCAAGAAGTGTAGTTTTCACATCTAGATGCGGATCAATTATAATGCACAATTTGACATACTAGAGTGGTTGCACAACCATCAAGTAGATAAATAGATAGAACTACGGTCTCAAACCTTGGTCATTGAAGAAAGTGCAATTGGTAGAAAATCAATAAAGAATGCTTCCTTATCACAACAAATACACAAAAAAATAAAATCAAAACATACCCAAAGATTCCCCAGAAGATAATTGGGGTGAATTTAATTGCTCTAGCAAATTGCACGTATAGTTTCCCATCAGGCTTCCACCAACTATAAACGTTTGACTGTGTAAAAAAGGAAGAAATATACTTACAAAAAGACATTAATCAACAAAACCAATGAGGAAGAACAGATACAAAAGAGGGAGGATGGCATTTTTTATTTTTATGATAGGCTCTATACTCATTCTAAAGTAGCACAATTACATATGTGCATGAGGTATGCACAAGAAAGTATGAGATAACCACAAGCATGAGGTGCAAACAAGTGTCACAATACGAATTCTAATTAGATATACTGATACCCAAATCAAAAGAGGCAAACAACAAAAATAAAATAAAAAACCAGTACCTGACCAAAGCAAAAAACTGGAACCAAGGGTCGGCCCATCTCCATAGCTATGCGTACAAATCCTCTTCTTGACTTGAGGAAGGCAACCTACAAAATAAAGAACGAATAATTTGAAGACTAGGGCAAAAGATCTTCAGCAGAATAAGGCAAAGGAAATTCAAGAAGCTACTGCAGTCCCTATAGATACTGCGCTGCATATAAAGGAAGAGAAAGAGACATAAAGAAGATATGAAGTAGTAAGTGAAGAAGAGAGAAGATTGAATGTCCAGGATTTTGAGGAAAACATGGTCTAGCTTGACAGATTGACTGCCTATTTTCACTGCACTGATCTAGCAGAACTGATTTATAGTTATGACCTGATATGTAATAGTAGGAGCCGTTTGGCAATATGAGAAGATGATCACAGTTGCTCCAAACCCACACTGACGGAAGACACAGAAGCTTTCAAATACGCATCATAAAAATGACTATAGTATATGTCTAAAGTGCAACACACATGAAGAAGGTGATGATGTATCAACCAATTCATTACCATAATATGCTCGCAATTTTGGGACCTCAACTTTACGTATTTTGAATGTTGTGGATGAGTCTAACTCCAAGGCTTTTTACGGCTTGACGAGGGTTGACAAATCCTTGCACAGTCCAACTACTGTACGAGAACCATGGGTGGATTCTGCTTTCTCTTTGCACAGAGTAACTCGCAATTTGATGACAGCACTACATACAACCTTCAAGGAAAGAACCTTGACTTCTTTCTTCTTTAGAGGAGGCTCAATCAGGGAATTTGCAGAGATAGATTGGCAAACTTATCAACCAACAAAATCAGAAAAATAGAAATCCTCTCTTTCTCAATAGGCACATTGCCTTTGCTTCCCTCATAGGACTTAGATGCTTACTCAGTCCCTCGAGACCAGCATTCGGGAGAATAAGACACTTAAAGCAGTCCACATGAAACAAGGAAAGAGAACTGACTAAACCTCTCATTTACACATGGTCCTTTACCAGCCAAGAGACTGGGATTCAATCTTTCTGAGAGAGAGAGAGAGAGAGAGAGAGAGAGAGAGATTCACAAGAAATGGTGGATTGGCATTAATAAAATGGCGGGATAGAGCTTATTTCACATGTATGCTAGGAAAGCCAAGGAGAAGATGAGAAGAATAAAAGTTAACAGTAAGTGAAATAGTTGGTTTATATCATTAATCCTCAATCCAGATACAATTATGGCTTAACCACAAATATAAAAACTCTAACAACTAGGAGTTATAGGAGTAAAACCTACCTCAGAACCACGTTCCATGTGAATTATCTCTTGCACTCCGCCTGGCACTATGATGCAGCTATAGCCAGCTGCCAAGAGGGAGATAAAGTTTTTCCTTGATGCAGGCGAAAGTCCCAGCCATGTCCATATGTGCCTGAGGAATGGCGTATAGAACACCTGATTTATATTTTTGGTGGGTAATTAACATAGTTAATAAATATAGCAATACGAGACTGGCTCGATGTTCAAGTACCAAGGGTGGCATTCTTACAGCACTACTCGCGAGGACCTTAGCTTTTGGAAGACACATAAAACCTGTGAGGTCAGCAAGTGCAACGACACCGATGGGCAAAACTGAATGTGGCTCATAGCCGAAAACTGCATGAAGCATAGGCTTATTTCATTACTTGGGCAAAACAAGAATAAATAAACTATAGAGTCATCAGCACCAAAGCAAAGTCAAAGCTCCTAAGAGATCAGAGTGGCAACCCATGTTATATGGACATAGGTACGGTACAGGTGACAGGTGGCAGTGCGTATGTAGAGGTCAGACCAATCAAACCTCAAATTCAAGGATACACGGGCTCGCCACAAAATGGTCATATTTTTAATCTATTATGTAAAATAAAATGGTGTTATATGTAACATACAATGTCAAAAGATATTTTACTCATTTTATAGCATTTATACAACAATATATATATATATAATGATAGTGTCAAATACAAATATTTAAGACGTGTCCGATGTGAAGTATCGAACACATATCTCATACCCTTGTACAAGTATTGGGTATCCGACATATGTATTTGATTTGTTTTGAAGAGTTTATGTAACATGGCAGCAGCCTACCACTTCAAGCTAGGTAACCAAAGAAAAACCGAAAGGGGAACTTATGCAAGAGTAAGACAAAGAAATTTAATCATGCAAACCCCACATTAATAGGACAACAATTAGAATGGTCTTATCAAGATGTAGAACAAACCAGCACATGGAAATCCATCCTTAAGCTAGTAGAATATGCAAGCAAGCACGTAAAAAATAATTAGTTAATAGCCAGCAAGCTTGCTTGATTGAAATTACTTAGCCAGGGAGAGTTGAGACTTGAGACCACGCCAAAAGCAAGGTCCTAAATATCCAAAATGCAGGACCCCATCACCCACCAAGTATCACTCTCACAATGCAACACTTTACTCAAAACCATGACATAATCACATTTATGTTACATAGACTCTTCTAAATATATGAAGTGCCTTTGTCAAACACTCAACTCTTGAGTTAGGGTATGAGATATGTGACCAACGCGTAGTTGGATATTCAACTAGCAAGCATATTTACTAATTCAAGTTAATCATAAAACTATGCATACAACCCCCCATATTATGTATGAAATACTCTGTAACAACTTTTTACATTCATTTTGCCCTAGAAAATAATTTTTTTTTTTTAAAGTACATTAAAAAATATGAATATTTTGTTGTGTCCCCGTGTCTCTAGACATGAGATTAGACGAATTAGACACCTAGACACATATCCGCACACAACACCCATAGTGGAGTCCATGTAAAATAGATCACATTATAGACCCATCCCATGAAAGAACCCAAAAAAATACTTGGCACAGGACTTAAGGATGACTTGCTAGAGAGAAGAGACAGCTAGATTGCACAGTGCTCCCTAGAAGCCCCTTTATACCCAAGGCCCCGTATTGTTCTTAAGCTACCTTTCTTTTCACACCTTTTCCATCATATGTGTTCCGTAAGTCATAAATATGTGTATTTGTGTTTTGTGGAATAAAAAAAAGGGGGGGATTTAGGGCTGTCAATCTTGAATCTTTCGTTTGGTGAAGAAGATGAATAGAAAGAACACGAAAGAACAGAGAAACTTGTATTGTGAATTCGTCAACATGTATTACACAATGCTCTGCTTTTTATACACAAGTTACACTTCAATCTATCATCTAGCTGGTTTTGTTAGACCTATACATATATGTCTATGCAGATTACAATACCACTACAACCAACTACCTCACTGCTGACTAGGACGACAGCTTACAACTAACTCCAAGTAACTCCTAACCACCATCATCAATTAATTCTCTAACCATGTTGTCACTATCATATGTCACCCTCTGAAAAACCAAAGGCTACCTCTGTCTTATTATTATTATTATTGTTATTATTATTATTAATTGTTTTTAATTTCGCTTTTTGAATCACTTCCCCCAACTACCTATAGCTTGTACAAGTCTTCCAATTTTTGTGCTTCCATTTTTGTTGACTTTTAATTTTTATTTTAATTTTTATTTTTAAAAAAAATTAAAACAGACCAAAAAATTGCATCCAAGAAGAATGAGCCAAGTAAGCAGTGAAGATTCGAATATTGGTAAAACAAATTTGGGACAAGCTCAATTCAGTAAACAAGTGTAAGAAAAAAAGAAGAAGAAGAAGAAGAAGAAGTTTACCGTAGGACTGATTAGGATCGAAGGCTTGAATATCTTCCACATGAAGAGTCATAGGAAAATAACCACAAGCATGCTTGCAGATATACCTGAAATTCGTTTCGTTTAATCATCGTCACCAAGAAGAACACGCGATTCATATCATCATGTAAACCTGTAGGGTTTTAAATCGCTGACCTCGCTAATTTCCTGCCCCATTTGCTTTTATCGTCCATCGGAATCACCATAAAAATCACAAGCAACCCCATTGCCCTGAAAAAATTCACAAATCCACATATACATACATACATACATACATACATACATACATACATACATGCATATCATTTATACTTTCAGTATCTCAGAGAGAGAGAGAGAGAGAGAGAGAGAGAGAGAGAGAGCGAACATGAAGAATTTGGGAAGGGGGAGGAAGAGGAAGGAAGCAAGGACGACGACGACGTTGAAGTGGATGGCGCCGAGCCAAATGATGAGCGCCAAAATCGTGTGGAAGACTGAGCTTTCTGAGCCAGTGAACTCAGTCGGTGAGGGCGGCGCCGCCATGACGGACTCCGGCTCCGTCGCCATGGAAGAATTGAAATCTCAATCGCAGAGTTTTCCAAGAATTTCAAGTGTAAAATCTGAATCCAAACATACACACATACAAGTTTATGTATGTATATAGATAGATAGATAGATAATAAAATCCAGAGTGTTCGAATTGAAAGCACCGTCGGCGTCACCCAACAACCACTCGCCTCCGCCACCGAGCTGTTGGTTCATTCATGTTCTGCGTCTGGACCACGATTTCCTTTGTTTAAGGCGTCGGCGACCCCGCTTTCTAACTTAAAAATAAAAAATTACTATAAAAAATATATATATTCACCAATAAATCTTAAGAAAAATAGTTTTGAACTATTTAGTGTCGTGTTTAAACATTAGAACTGATAAGTCTCGTTTGGCTATCCTGCCGTGGTCCCTATCGTGGTCAAAAATAATGTCGTTTTTGACCATTTTTTTTTTTTCTCGCGTTTCTTTTATGTTGCTTCAGAACTCAAAGAGAACCCTAGTATTGCTTTAGAACTCAAACTGATTGAGAGTAGAGGCCAAACGACGAGGAGAGGAGAGGAGAGGCAGCGGTGAGGCGAGGGGAAACAACGGCGAAACGACGGCGACGAGGTCCGTTCGTCTTCAGGATCATTTTTCTCAGGTCCGTTCGTTATTTTGATTTATGTTGGAATTTCTCATTTTTTCCCAAACAAATTTGATGTTAAAGCAAAAAAATTTTCCCAAAAAAATGAGGAATGAAAATTTTCCTCATTTTTCTCAGGTCCGTTCGTTATTTTGATTTATGTTGAAATGCCTCATTTTTTCCCAAACAAATTTGATGTTAAAGCAAGCCGAGTATAACAATTTTTTTGCTAATAGATGCTTTTGATTTATGTTGAGTTTGATGGATTTGTTGTTGAAACAAATGTGTTATTTCTGTTGAATTTTTGAAAATTTTTGTTGATTTGGTGTTACAGATGTGTTATTTGTGTTAATCTGTTCAAGATTAGGAACACCTTTGTTAATCTGTTAATCTGTTAATCTGTTCAATTGGAATAATGACATTAATCTGGGTATAGTCTCATTATGCTCACCATTTGACTGCTGAATTGTTGATTTGGTGTTACAGATGTGTTATTTGTGTTAATCTGTTCAATTGGAATAATGACATTAATCTGGGTATAGACTCATCATGCTCACTATTTGACTGCTAAATAATGAGAGATGGTGAGATCCATTTGACTGCTGAATAATGTGAGATGGTGAGATGTGGAATATATTGTGTAATCTGGGTATAGTCTCATCATGCTCACCATTTGACTGCTGAATTGTTGATTTTGTGTTACAGATGTGTTATTTGTGTTAATCTGTTCAAGATTAGGAACACCTTTCTTAATCTGTTAATCTGTTAATCTGTTCAATTGGAATAATGACATTAATCTGGGTATAGACTCATCATGCTCACTATTTGACTGCTAAATAATGAGAGATGGTGAGATCCATTTGACTGCTGAATAATGTGAGACGGTGAGATGTGGAATATATTGTGTTAATCTGGGATCTCATCATGCTCCTTTCATTTTTTGTTCATTTTTTGTTAATCTGGAATATATTGTGTTAATCTGGGATCTCACCAAATTGAGCATCACTTGATTTTGTTCAATGTTTGAGACTGCTGAATATATTGTGTTGGCCATGAACAGGCACTGTAGGGTTGGCCATGAACACCTTTCTTTTTGTTCACCTTGATTTTGTTCAACTCTAGTGATTCCAGGAAGGTCCACCATTGTAAGATTAGGAACACCTATTTTGTTTGACACAGGCAACTGCCCTGTTTATTCATGTTTTCAATTACCATTGTCATGTTTTCTTCTTTTTTTTTTGACAAACTATTGTTTACATGCATTGCCATTATAGATCAGAGATCCAATCCAAGTCCTGCTGTCAAACAATCCAAGTCCTGCTGAGTCATGTACTGGTCTATATTGGTCCAATATTGATCAAACAGTCCTGCTGTCAAACAGTACTTCTCCAAAGAAATTATTTGATCTATATTGGTCCAGACCAAATTCAGGACTCATTCTGTTGCCATATAAAAGGGAAAAAGTTTGATTCATGTCTCTCAAAATGATAGCATACTACCATATGAACTGTATTATCATAGCACAGTTCCTCTATCTCACATGCATCTTTGTATGTGACCTTTTTATGATTGGATTTCTTTTGTAGTTACTACCACTTCATTTGATTAATTTTCGCTTGTAGTTTGCAGCTTCTATGCTTCATCTAGGTATATCTCTTGCTCTCATATTATTTGTTTCCTGATTTTTTAAATGAAGTTTAATTTTAGATGGATGATTCATACTTGTTTAGGGAATTATTACATTATAATTTCATGGCTAGTCTTGTTAATTTACAATGAAAGTGAGTTTGGATGTAAACACATATACCAAAATCCATGTTCAAGGTTTATAGAAAAATTTGCATGAAATCATTCACAGATAGCATACAGTAGTGCATGCATACTAAAGATTGATCTAGCTATTTCATTAACTTCTGAAATCTAGCAGCTTAATAATTGTAAGTAGTATAAGATTGGGCAGATACCTAGTTGGTTTCAACTTCTGAATTGCAATTGCTATTGTTATATACTTTAGTAGTCAATTTAGGTTCATGTCATGCAATTTCCATTTTACTAATACATCTGAATTGCAATTGCTATTCTTAATGGACTGATTGTAATTGTGGAAAATGCTCTTACTAGGATCATGTCAATGTCAATGGGTTCAAATATTGATACTGGATATTTGCAAAATCATAGATGCAATTGTGGAAAAAAAGTTGCAGTGTTCATATCAGAATCAGAGAAAAATCCAGGGAGGCTGTATTTCAAGTGTGCAACTAGGATGTGGGAGTACTTTGGATGGGGACCGGCTTCGACTGGGAATGCATCAGATATCCAAAGGAAAAGTAAAGCTACTTATCTGAAGAATGAAGATGAGAGAGGCTATGATTATGATGTTGACAAACTCAATCAAATTATAAATAAATTGGAACGAGTTGAAGCAAACCAAGAAGCTATGAAACTGTTTATGTTCACAGCCATTGTGTTGATTGGTTTTACTATGCTAATAGCACTACTGAAGTGAATGTAATCTTTTAGTGATGCGCTTAACCTTTTTTAGGTGGATGTATTTGGGTAACCTTAGTGAATGTAACCTTTTTTTTTTTTTGGTGGATGTATGTGGGTTTTGAATGTTGTAGACCTGAAACTATGAATGTTGATATGTAAAGTTTAATGGAATTACCTATGTTTGACGAATGTGATGAGTCCTTAAACTATGAATGTTGATATGTAAAGCTTAATGGAATTACCTATGTTTGACGAATGTGATGCGTTTCTGTTTTGTTTCTGTCAATGACATTATAATGTTCTGGACATATCTCATTATTTTATAACGTTGTGGACAGATAGATCTCATTATTTTATAATGTTGTGGACAGATTTCATTATTTTATATTCTTATTATTGGTCAGGTCGTACTTGTTCTTCATCAAATCTGTCCACAACATAACCAAATCTGTCCACAACATAAGATAACCAAATCTGTCCACAACATAACCGAATCTGTCCAAAACATTATAAATGTATCCAAATCTGTCCAGAATCCAAATCTGTGCAGACAACACAAAATAACACAAACCAAAACCAAATTTGTCCAAAAAAAAAAAATGATCCAAATATATCCAGATCATTCCAAATCTGTCCAGAACATGATAAACCTTTGCAACACAAAATAACACAACCAAATTTGTCCAAAATTTATGAGACCAAATCTGTCCAAAACTGTCCACAACATTATAAACCTGTACAACACAAAATAAGACAACCAAAACTGTCCAAATCTGTCCAGATTATTCGACACATGTCTAGAACAGTATAAACCTGTGCAACACAAAATAACACAACCAAATCTGTCCAAATCTGTCCAGATTATTCGACACATGTCTAGAACAGTATAAACCTGTGCAACACAAAATAAGACAACCAAAACTGTCCAAATCTGTCCAGATTATTCGACACATGTCTAGAACAGTATAAACCTGTGCAACACAAAATAAGACAACCAAAACTGTCCAAATCTGTCCAGATTATTCGACACATGTCTAGAACAGTATAAACCTGTGCAACACAAAATAAGACAACCAAAACTGTCCAAATCTGTCCAGATTATTCGACACATGTCTAGAACAGTATAAACCTGTGCAACACAAAATAAGACAACCAAAACTGTCCAAATCTGTCCAGATTATTCGACACATGTCTAGAACAGTATAAACCTGTGCAACACAAAATAAGACAACCAAAACTGTCCATGTCCATCTACATGACTGTCAGCAGGACTATGTGACGCTTGCGAGAGATGGACTGCAAAGTTTTCAACACTTGTACCTCGAAGCAACCCCTGAAAATATGTGTGAGTGGGATACACAGAAGGCATTGACTGAGGCGTGTTATTTCCCTGCAATACACCAAACCATGTATTCAACTTCGATTACAATGTATACTACATTTTAAATGTAAACTATGTCACTGATTATAACTCACATCATATGTACCATACGTAAGAGGAGGACCACTTGTACCACCCATAAGAACTTGAGGTCGAGGTTGAGATGGAGAAATGTAGATATCATGACGATGATCCTAAATTAATACCCATGACGAAAAACAAAAAAAAAAGAAACAAATATTTTAAAATAATAACCAAATTTTTTTTAAAACTAAAGAAACATCATTGAACATTAATATTACCTTATTATAATTAATACCCATGACGAAACGAGGTTGTGATTGAGAAAAATTTACACCAAGACCATGATCCTAAATACAACCAATAGAAACTATCTAAACAAAATATTTGAATAAAAAACATGGTCATTATTTAACATTTTCTTAAAAACTTGCACATAAAAAACTATTACCTTATTAGAATTACTACCCATGATGAAACGCGATTGTGATTGACCTTGGCAAGTATAAATAGCAGCACTGGACTGCATTGCCAGACAAACCAATTAAAGATAATAACAAGAATTAAATGCCAACTATGTAAACAAAATATTTGAATAAAAAACATGGTCATTATTTAACATTTTCTTAAAAACTTGCACATAAAAAACTATTACCTGATTAGAATTACTACCCATGATGAAACGCGATTGTGATTGACCTTGGCAAGTATAAATAGCATCACCCGACTGCATTGCCAGACAAACCAATTACAGATAAAAATAATTAAATGCCAAGCAACCCAACTTGGGAAGTGTAAACAGTAATGAGGTTGTGATTCACCCATGAATAAAATTACCACCCATGATTCACCCATTAAATACCTGAATAGAATTACCACCCATGACGAAATGAGGTTGTGATTCACCTTGGGAAGTGTAAACAGTACCACCCGACTACATTGCGAAGCAAACCAAGTACACATAACAACAATTAACCATATAATGAACAAAGTTAATGAAATTAACTCATCAAACTAACCATATGAAGACCACATTACTATTAAATATTACCTGAATAGAATTATTACCCATGCGGAAATGAGGCTGAGATTCACATTGGGGAGTATAATCAGCGCCACCCTACATACAACGAAAAACTTTAATGAAAGTGGGTCATTACTAAAAAAAATCAATGTTTTAGTTTACTAATCTACTGTATTTTAATCGTATGCAATTTTACTAATCTACTGTATTTTAAAACTAACCATATAAATACGACATTACTATTACATAATACCTGAATAGAATTACCACCCATGACGAAATGAGATTGCATCCTTTTCTTCTTTGCAATAGCTTTTTCCATCCCGCCTTTGATCCTCTTTCTTCCCTTAGTAGTTGACTCTCTTTTCTTCAGTCCCTTAGCTTGGATTGGACAATCTACTTCATCACTCTGTGGGCATGCGTTGCTTGACGAATTTCTCAAATCAGTTACCTCCACTTGACCACAAATGTGGAGACTTAATTTGTCTTCAACCATTACACTCAATTCTTCACCTTTTGAAACTAACAACTAATAAGTTTCTTCACTTTCAGCGGCTCTACTCGCTATTGCTCTAAACATGGTCATTAATGACCGATATCGGTCACTTTGATGTAATTTCACATCAGCCGTCATTTCATACCCACGTCTATCTTTCACTCTTTCAGCCCTTGCTTTTTTAGTCCATCGTTTGAGTATATATTATGGAGGAAGTTCCGTTGCATTGAATACATCTCTAAGCACCTTGACACAATGTCGACATAGTATGCCCTTCACTTCAAACTTCTTGCAACTACAACTCAAAGAACCCCCTCCATCCATTGTCACAATCTTTTCTTTTTTTCCATCTACCATTGTTCTTATTGTGAATATGGTGCTCTCACCATCATGAATAGTGCCTATAATGGATGCTTCAATGGACTGCACATACTCATTTTGGAATTCCTCAAAAATTGTTTTCGTGTAAATCTCTGCCACTTGCTTTAACATCACAGTTGGAATTGAAACCCTCGGCAATTTTTGGGACAAATTATACTCAGCTTCCAATTCCTTATACCTCTTCTCATAAAGCACCCTCTCAAAATGCATGAAGAACTCCATCAAGTTATGGTCACAATTCAAATAATCCTTCAGAAATGCATTAAAGGATTCACTAAGTTGAGTAGTACTCATTCCAGCTGCCCAAGAATTCCTAATATATGGCCATCCCCATTTCTCCTTCACGCGAAAAGTCTGCTCCAACCAATGATTGTCGAATGCATCATACTTATCAAGCATTTGGTCCCACTGTATTCGGAATTGTTCTTCATCATCAATGTCATGCATAAATTTTGAAAACACAGCCTTGACCCCTACATCATCAAAAACAGAACTTACATGCTTGACAGCATTTTGCATCAAATGCCACGTACAAAGACGATGGTTTGTATCGGGCATGACAATTGGAATGGCCTTAGCCATCGCAGCATCTTGATCTGTGAAAATAGTTTTCGGAGCTTTGTTTGACATTGCCTCCAAAAAAATTTGAAACAACCATGTAAAAGATTCAGCAGTCTCATCATACATCAACGCTGCACCGAATATAACTGTTTCTCGATGATGATTAAATCCAACAAATGATCCAAAAGGTCTATGCTCATTATTTAGTTTGTAAGTAGTGTCAAATGTCACAACATCACCGAACTGAGCATAGTCCATGATCATTTGAGCATCAGCCCAAAATATATTACTTATCTGCTCATCACAATCTAATTGGACTGCATAAAAAAAAGATGGATTTTCCACAGTTTTCTTACGAAAGTAATGCAACACACTACCCGCTTCCCCATATTCCAAATCTTTTTGTCTCTTCGATCTTAGGTAATTTTTTTGGTCCAATTTAGTGAAACCAAGTGATGCTCTTCCACCAGATTCCCTACCAAATAGTTCATAAGCAGACCTAAGAGGAATTCCAGACTGTGAAGCTAATTCTACTTCAATTGCTTGGGTGGTAGATATTTTTCTTTGGGAAGGCAACATATGAATGCAATCTTGAGGCACAAGATCATGATTATGATATTCAACAAAATCACAAGCAAGATATTTTCCTGAAATTCTATCCAACTTGATACTAAATCGGGCACCACAACCACATCTTACCTCTTGTCTTGGATTTTTGACAAGTGGATCTCGTTTGTCAATACCCCGACTTCCCTCTTTGTAACATACAAACGTACGTGATGTTATCTCCTTCGTATGTTTGTTCTTGTTTGCATAGGCCTTCCTAATACTAAAACCCAACTTTCCCCCATACGTATTGTAAAAGTTATATGCGGCTTGTTCAGAGTCAAATGGCATTCCCACTTTCGGCTTCCAACCACAATCATCAACAATATTACTTTCTTCCATTACCTACAATTCATATATATAAACCACATTTATAAATATAAACCACATTTACCTACAATACAAAAATCTAAATTTGAATTAACAGATTTTTCAGGAGCTAATCAGTTGCGTGCTAATTATAGAATGGATGGGGCTGGTGTAGATGACAAAACATCACTGTTTCAGAGTATGACCTTCAGTGATGGTGTTCAGGAACCATGTATTTGGTCATCTCCTGGAGGGATTCATAAAATCAATATAGGGAAACGGATATTCTGCAATAGATCTTTGAATATGAAAAGTATTGTTGCGGTTGGTTTTGACATTGATTATACTTTGGCTCAATCCAAAGGTTTGTCTGCATTTTCATTCATTCTGACTTAATTAAGTTCATGCATAGCCATGGTTTTGCATAAAAATTGTATGCACAACACACTTATCTTCATGCTCTGCGTAAGTGATTTCAAATGAAACTTGTCGATTCTGATTTTTATCTAAAAATGCCATTATGCTAGACTGACATGTTAGTTTTAGTATAGATTTAAGGACATATAATGGGTACTTTCATTATTTGATTTGATTTTCACCTTATGTCTGTTATTCTATAAAATTTGCTTTTCTTTGTCAACCATGTTTTTTGTATTCATTTAAATAAGTTTGAACCTTATGCCATGATAGGTAATGGTCATACTCAAGTTCCTTTGGTATTTAGTTATCTGTTGTTCTGGCATGGACTTTTGATTGGAAGTACATGGTCAGAGGTTTGGTTCTTGATAAAAAGAGAGGCAACATATTGAAGGTAACTGTTTGGTTTTAAATACATATCAATGAATCAATGTATAACATCTGAAATCAGATTCATTGATATATATAAAATCTGAATCAATGAATCAACATATGAAATCTGATTCATTTCATATGTATAACATATGAAATCAGATTCAAATCAATGAATCAATGGGTTCAAATCAATGAATCAATGGGTCCCTTAAAAAATCTGAATAACATTTCAACGGGTTAAAAAATAAAATCTGAATCAATGAATCAATTTATAACATTTTAGATTTCAATGCCTAAAATCAATATAGAACCATCAATGAATCAATATATAACAGCAAGATGATGAAATATACCTCGCTGTCGCCGCAATGTCGCCTTCCCACCATCGCATCGCCGCCGGACTCACCGTCGCCCACGGTCCTTTGCTCGCCATCGCGTTGCTCCTCCATCTCCGCCATCTCTTTCGTCTCTCAGTTCCTCTCTCAGTTCGCGTTAGTTCAGTCGCCTCTTTCAGTCGTCTCTCGCGATAACTCTCTCTCTTCTGCTAGGGTTCAGTCACCTCTCACGATGCCTATATCTCTTTGCTAGGGTTCACTAACTCAGCAAAGGCTAAGAAGACGATACACAGAAAGAGAAAAGAGGGGAAAGAGAAAAGGGGGGAAACAAGGGACTGGGTTTTTGAATTAAAAAAAAAAAAAGTAAATAAAATGGTCGTGGTATACAAAACGACGTCGTTTTGTATACCACGGCAGGAACCACGGCAGGAACCACGACAGGATAGTATGGCAAATGATCTGCACTCCTTTTGACGTGGGATCAACTAATGCCAATGACATGACATTTTGAAGTTTCTTTCTTTTCTTTTCTTTTTTTTCCTTATAGTATACTACTCAGTGCTATAGCGCATAAAAACAAGATGCCCACTTTTTGTGCCTAGTTTTGATAATAGCTCATGAATTTGAGGATATATTTTTAATTACACAAACGTTGAAAAGAGTCATAAGTATTATATTGTTAGTGTCAAAAAAAACATATAAAAACTATATCAAAATTTATTGATATGTCTCAAAATATTTTGAGATATGTGAAGATTATATTAAGATTATAAGCCTCCGTTTAGGAGGTGGGTTGATTTTTTAATTTTTTAATTTTTTTTTTGACTATTTTAGTCTGGGCTAAAAAATTTAGTTTGGGAAGGACTTTTTAACTTTTTAACTTTTTAATTTTTTTGATTTTTTTTATGAGAGAAGAGTGTAATGATTATGGGTTGGATGTGATATTTTTGTTTGTTGTGACTAAAATAGCCTATTTTGTCTTTTATGACTATTTTAGTCACAAACCAACTTGCCAAACACCCCCTGAACATTTTGTTGTTTTCCTTTCAAAAACAAAAACAAAAACAATACCAAATAATTACATGCCCTCTCCTATTTAAAAAACTTTTATAATGGTGCACAATCAGAACATTTTGACTTTAAGCCCCGTTTGTTTTGGGTACATTGGATGGAAGGGGATTAGGATGAAAATATAAATATTTAATATTGTGTTTGTTTGTGGAGTTGGGAAAATAAATTAGGATGGAAGAAGAAATATAGATGGAGGTTGAAAGGGGAATTGGGATAGAGCAAGTGAAGGTGGTATTAGAAAAATAGTGAGGGCATTAGAAAATTTTTTATTTTTTTATTTTTATATATTGAATTTTTTTTTAAATATTAATGTTTAATTTTTATATTTTTTTATTTATTTTATTATTTTATATAAAAATAATTTAACAATTTCTACACTAACAACTATCATCAAAACAAACACAATTTACTTAATCTCCTCACTATCAATCCTCTCACTAACAATTCTCTCATAAATCCCTTCCATTCTACCTCTGAAAACAAACAAGGCCAAAGGATGTTATGGATAGGACACGTGCTTTGCAACCATCGCACATGTATACGTTTGAATTCTGTGTAACAGTAGACCAAGTACAGCACAGCAAAGCCGAAACCCACACAGCTAAACAAAACCCAAACAAAGCAACATATCAAAACATCACATCAGCAGCTAGTAGAGATGGTCATTTATCGACCGGGTTACCTAATAGTAATAAGAGATTTGTGTTTGTCTACCTTCGTTCGGTACGAACATCAAACTTATATTTTGGTTTGAGTTTCAGTTTTAATATAAATTTTAATTTTCAAATCTATCCATCAAATCATATACATAAACTATTAAAATAAAAAATCCTAATTAGTATAGTAATTATTATTTTTTTTATAAATAAACAAAAGCCTATCGAATAATTAATAGTTAAATATTTAATATCATATTAATTAAAATATTATAAAGTTTTTTAAACCAAATGCACCCATAATTCTATAATATCAAAATTTTAAAAACTAAACTGTCAGTAGTATATTAAACTAAAAAAAAATCTATGGTTTACATTGCAAACCTTTTTCTTCTGTTTCATTTCATCTTCCGAAAGGATAGAATCACCCGTAACCATTGTTTCCGATGATACTTAGTTTCCTACATTATCAATAAATAAATTTTTAATATCAAATAAATGACAAATTAAAATTTTAAACAATTATAAAGATATATATTTTTTTAACATGCTATAGAAATAAATTAATTTATTAAATTAAATATGTAACAAGCCAAGCTAGGCCAGACTAAAAATACAATTTTTAAACCCAATTTATTTATTAATCGGGATAAAAATATCAACTCAGACCAATTTTATAAACTAAAATTATATTCTCAGAATTTAAAAATACAATCCTGCTGCAGACCTCTAATTAGAGGTCTTGCCATTAAAAAAAAAAAACAGTGAAGTAAAAAACAAAAATAGGAAAAGAAAAAGACAAATTAAAAGTGCATTAAAAGTGTTTTTTTAGAGGTTCAAATCATTTTTCTTAAAAATATAAGGTGAACTAGACGGGCTAACAGTGGGATCCGACTCCTAAGAGCTAGTCTTTCATGCCTCGTTCTCTTGCACCGAGAGAGGCACTAACTACGATCAACCTAACATCCATCACCAAAGCAAAACCATTACAACAACAAACAACTAGTAGCCCATTCTACCAGCTTTAACATTTAGAGACTGCACACCCCCCTGTTCCATCCCAAAGAGTGGATGAAGTCATTATCCAAAATGGTTACAAATATTAGGATAAATTAAAAATATATTTTTTAAGATTTGTTTAAAATATAAATTATTTTTTCTAATTTAAGAAATTATAAATATTTCTTCTTTTTTTTTAGAATTTTTTATTTAACAACCGTTCTCCTACACAATAATAAAATTATTTGAATTTTTAATTGAAATAAATTTCTAACATCACTAAAGACTACTAGTTGATTTAATAATTTATTAATAAAATAAATCATTTATCATGAAATTAAAAATTTCAGAAGGTGAAATGTAATTTTCTGAATCAAATAAAACAATTCGTATTTTAGACAAAGTATGAATAGTCTTTACATTGAAATATAAAAATAAAAATAAAAATAAAAATAAAAAGCCCCCCCCCAAAACACAAAGGTCTCGTTTGGTGTAACTGTTAAAACAACTTATAGATTATAACTTAACAGATTATAGATTATGACTTTAATCAGAAGTTGTTAATCTGTTTGGTGTAGCTGTTGGATTATAGATTTAAGTTGCTGAGCAGTCTTTGTTAAATAAACTATGAAATAACTTTTTCAATTAATTTTTATTTTTTGTT